GTTTAAAGATGTTCAAGTAGGTTCAAGGTGGTTCAGTACACTGTACATCCTCTCACCAAACTTTCACAAACCTTGGTCAAGAACATTTGTTTGTTGCGAACTGCCCAAGTGAAATTGATGCTGACAAAGATTTTGTTAAGCCCACAGCACAAATAAAGAACAGAAAGATGAACCGCACTGGGTCTCCCAGGAGTCCACCAACCAGGCAAACAAGGTTACTTAAGATATTTTTTTTCCGTCCAACGCCTTCATGGCTTCCGCTAGGTCGTTCAATATGCTTTATTGGCTGTTGCAAATTGGGATTAATTCATTAATTATGGCATACGCAGGCCGTCTGCGGTTGAGTGGCCTCAAAAGTGAACTGGTGAAGGACCGATACGTAGTCCTGTCACAATGTCATCACCTAATCGCACAGCGAAACACAAAAAGCCAACACGCAGAAAACAACCAAAACACAAAAACACAAAAACACCAAAACACAACCCAAACAAAACACAAAACCAAAAAAACAAACCACACGAACAAAGCCGCAACGTGACAGGTACCAGTTCATGGGTGAAAGCGGTTAATTGATGCAAGAGGTGATAACCTTGTATCATCTCAGTATGGTATGGCAAAACAACAAAAACCAAACAAAAACACCCAGACCACCAGGCCATACCAGCGAGTGAGTGAAGCAACAAAGTACCATGCGGAAACCAGGGATCCCCCCCGCCAGGATCCCCGAGATCACATGGCACAAGCCGACAAGGCATAACAACTCACATAAAGGCACCCCGAAGCAAACACCGGCAACGCCGGGTCGCAGCGAGAGTGGTGAAATGCAAAACAGGGTGAGACGAATGGTGAAACATGAACTAAGGTGAAAAAGGGAGAAAAAAAAAGAGGTTACTTAAGATACACTTAAGATACACAAAGTCACACAAAACTGGGGTTCGAAGAAAAAAGTGTGAATATATGGCATTAGACCGTCGTGCTTCTTCACGATGTACGCTGGGATTAGACTGTTATGCACTCTATTTGGTACAATGGTTCATTAGGTGCTACTTCTATGATACTGCATTTGACTTCGGTATTCATTGAGATTCTGCACTTTTGATAAGCTGAGAATGTTCTAGAATGGACGGTATTTCATTGGATGCTATTTCGGTGACATTGCGTTTTGACCACTGTCTTTGCTGGGATCTGCGTTTTCGATGAGACGAGAATGTTTTCGAGCTTTAGGGATTTGTGGAAATATACGTATTATGGATACTTGCCTGGCGGGAGGTGCCGTTGTGATTGCGACTGTGATCAATGCATCGTGTCATGCAGAATGATGCCAGCAGACCTGAATTCTGTGGAAGTATTGGAGGTTTTGGTGCGGTGATCGTTATAGTCGTTTTCGCTGGGCGATTTGCTGCAGGATGGCGCATTCACATCTGAATTCGGTACAATAGCAGTTGTTTTGGTCGAAGCAGCTGGACATGCTGCCTATAGATGTGTACTTTGGAGATAGTGATTCTTGTGACGTTCGATGTTGCCATCTTCGCTTCTATATCTACCATCTTCACAGGATTTCTGAGCTGGGAGAATTTGTTTGAGACCATTTGAGACCGTTTGAAATTTTGAAGGGTTTTGCGTTGAACGCTGTATGTAGAGTTTTGCATTAGTTCATCGCCAGGTCATTGTTGGATAGCCCCTAGAGTGTTTTGGGTTTTCTCCCACATGATGACTGAAGCCATCATTTGTCTGAAGCTGAAAGCCGTTGTTGAGAGATGGCAGTTGATGGGAGAAAACGCTTACTGTTTTGGGGTTAATGGCCTATCTTGTTGAACTAATTAGTTTGGGGTTTGTAGATCTGGGGATTTGTAAACCTGAAACCAAACGTTTTGGACGCCACTTATTTCGTGACTTAGTGCGAGTCAAACAGTCTAAGAGACAATCTTAGCACAGCTGCATCAGACTTGCTTAGGAGACAGATCTCTTCTTTTGTTGTTGTGTGGTCGCGCAAAAGGGACTTGAAGCCGTCGTGCCAGAGGCCAGAGGTTGTTGGCTCTTGGGAGTTGCATTTGGGTTTTGGGCTCTTGCAGGACATACAGCAGTAACACTTTGATGTGACAATGAGCCAGGCTTTCAGTTCACGATCAGCAACCTGGCTTACTCTGAGCCTGGCTCTCCGTTTCCGGACTGCAGAGAGGGATTAACTGACCGCCTGTCTGACTCAGTGTTGCTCCCGGGTACCGAGCCCAGGACCGGTCGGAAGAGGGACGCCGCCATAACCACTGAGCCTCTACCGGACCCCTGACAATGAGCCAGTGCTGGTGCAAGTGTTGCGCATGACAGTGAATGCTAGGCTGCTAGGCTCTCCATGGGATTACCTACCCGTGCCTCAACTCCTATGGCCTACTCTCACTCCAACTCTTTGGTTGAGAACATTGTTGCGCGTGCCAGGGCATTGCAGGGAGCTTGATGTTTTCTTTCAGTGAAAAGGTTGGCATGACATTGTCAAGCAACAGTGCATGGTGGTCATGGGCGCTTCGACATGTATGTTGGATTCTGAACAGGTTTGGTTCCACAAGATCGTTGACACCAAATGAGCTGGCATTTGGACGTGAGTATACAGCTGCGTTGTGTGAATTTGGTGAGCCAATTTTTGGATACCATCGAGCCATTGCAAGGTCGTCCGCGAGTTGGAAGAGATCAATTTTCTTGGGCAAGATTGACCCCCAAGACTCATACTTGCTGTATGATGGTCAAACCTTGGTGCTTGCAATAAGTGTGAGACGAATTTCAACATCCTGGAAGGGACACCTAGCGGTCTACATCAATTTCACTTGCTGGAGTTGGAACTACAAGTCAGGCCTTGGTGGAAGAGTGGTGCCAACTAAGGAACAGCGTTCAGCAGTGGAAGCCAGTTTCAAGGCCAGATTGAGCCTTCTGCTTTCTTTGATGAGGAGGCAGAATAAGTGCGGCAAAAGTTTCTTGAGAGGAAGAGGAAACATTTGAATTGTCAATGCATGACAAGGCCGCACTTGGAAGCTTGGAGGCTGAACAGAAAATCTGCAACAGTGACGTTTGAGGATGCAGCTGTGGTGGAGGATGATCAACCGAGGACGTTGTTCATTCTTTGATGCAAGACCCACAGGCTCCTCAGCAGCTGCAGCAGCAGCACCTTCTGCCCCTATGGCTGGATTAGACGTGCCTACAGCCCCAAGGCCCAAGGGGATCTTCCACTACAAGAGCGCATGGAGTTGAAGCCGAGGAGGAGCATGATGCAAAGAGAGCAAAAGTAGAAAGTGCAAAGAAACAGAGGATTTAGGAGGATTGCAGCTGAACATGAGTTGGCAATCAGAGCAATGTGAATTTCAGAAGAAGAGGTCCTCAATAAAACAGATGATTATGACACAGACCTACAGCTTGACGACCATGATGAGGTTGACGTTTGGGCTGGAGAAGGTGAGGTAGCAGCCGCAGGCATGCCAGAAGAACTGTGGTGTGATGCTGATGCCAAGTGAGATCCCCCAGAGCCAGAAAGCTGGGTGGACCGTTTGGCTGATGAGGTTGAGCTCCAGCGTCTATGTACAGTGGGTGTTTTGTCTCTTGCAGAAGAAGAAGCTGAGAAGCGGACAGGCTCACGTTTGGTGGCCACGGAATATGCTTTCCTCGAGAAACGCGCTGACACCTACAGTCCTGCAACATCCACTCACATCTTGAACCTCCTTCCTTTGATGTATCTGCAGAAGCTTGGTGAGAGCGACCCAGAGATCAAGGTGGATAGCATGGAAGTGACACTTGCATGTTTGGACGTGAAAGATGCTTTCCTCATGGTACCCCAGGACAAGCCAGTCAAGATCAAAGTTGGACAAGAAGAGTTCCTGGTTGAGCGCAACTTGCCAGGGCAGCGCGTGGGTGCCAAGAATTGGTATTGCAATGTCAGTTTTGCGTTGGGAAGCCAAGCTTAGCAAAGGGCCCACATGGAGTTTTCATGTTGCACATGGATGTTTGCGGTCAACGTGTTGATAGCTCCTTATTTCTAGTGTTAGTGAGAGAACTTGTTCTCGTGCTGCTTGTTGCTCCTCCTTCTTGTTGGTTCCCTCCTCTGTCTGATGAAGGATCACTCGAAGTAAACTGGGATTTCAACAAACAACAGTTTGGAAACAACAACTCGTTTCAGTGATGTCAACTGGAATTGCAGATTTACATTTTGGTCGATGTCTCTCAACTTCATGTACAGTTTGTCACGGCAGTCAATTACAGATATGTCAGTTCAGAATGGAGTTCAATTTGATGAAGGTCAACTTGATCAATGGATGTCGACAACACATGGCTCTCAGGGACGGGTGGCGGGTAGCCTCTTACTTTTTTGGTAGAGGTTGCATGTCAACTTTTTTGGTTGCATGTCTTTTGTGTTTTGTGTTGCATGTCTTGGCAGTCTCACGACAACAGTACTTGTTTCAGTCAATTTGTTTTCCATTTCACTGCATCACCGCGGGGAGCCAGCGCTGCATGGGCGCCAGAGCCAGGGGCAGAGTGGCATTTTCCAGCCCTTTGGCACTCCAGCCGGTGCCAGTAAGCTCAGCGTGTTTGCAGAGAGACTGCAGCTTTTTCGTCCGTGGCTTCCTCTGTGCAGTGATTTTCATTTGGTGGATCTTGTTTGGCATTGCGTATGTGGATTAGCCTGGATCGTTTCGCTGCTTGCAATTCCCAGGGTCAATTTTTGGTGCACTTTCCTGGTTGGTTTGACCTTCAAGGTAACATCCTGGCCTATTCAACTCCTTCGGAGTCCCATCGATATTTGAGGACCTGTGTCTTTTTGTTTGTGGAGACGCGTGATTTGCTTTTGACAGCAACTGCAGTGCGACTTCATTACCAAGGGTCAGGTTTTTCAGTGCCAACTCCACCTGTGCAGCCCGCGCTCCAGCTGGCCGGTCAAGGAGGGGACGTTTGGGACCAAGATTTTACTTCCAGTGACCAAGATTTTACTTCCAGTGACAGTGCATCAGTTGAAAATCTCAGTCATGCCGTGGAGATCCAGGACATTGACTAAATACTCAGTTGGGCCCACAGAAAATGCCAACAGTGATTCTGACTTTGCCTTTCAGCATGTTGGCAATGAACCCAGCGTTGACAGCCCCGGCAACTTGCCTGGAGCGGGATTCTCAGAAGAAAACCTTTTTGGAGATTTTGAAATTGCTGAGCATGAGACTGGATGCAAGGACTTTCATTTTGATTGCATCCCTGTTGAAGGCAATAGTTTGTCTCAACAAGGAGCGCTGGACCTGAGCGCAAAGCTTGTTCCTCGAGGCCCCACGTTGACGGAGGCCAGTTTTGAGCAGCACTTGTCGCATGCGTTTCTTAGCACTAGAGGGCCTTTGAAAGTGGTCATGCCTTGGGAGAAAGGAGTCTTCAAGAAGGTATTCAAAAAACCTGAGAATTTGTTGCACAACGTTTTCAAACAGCCGCGGCAATGGGTTGGACTTGATGTTGTGCCTGAAGTGGAAACAATGGATGAGTTTTCATCCGCAGTGGGCAGCCGTCATCAGCTGGTCGGGGCCTTTTATGAGCATGCGCTGTCATCCATTTCAGACCAGTCCTTCTTGCAAGAGCGTCAGAATCTTTTGGCAGCTGCAGTGGGAAAATGGTTTTGTATCATCAGGGTCAACATGCTTGCTTCAACAGTTGGACATGACATCATTGGACTGGGCAACATGGAGGACCAGAAGAAAGGCGCCTTTCAGGTCATTGAAGCTGTAATAGGCGTAAGATCCAGAACCACGGCTGTCACAAGGGCCAATGCTTTGCTCAAGTTTTTGAGATGGAGAGCCGATACCTCAGAAAATGACGGAAAGGATTTTTCAGAGTTGGAAGCGTGGAGCTATTTGCTGGAGTTGAGAGAGAAGGGTGCAGCACCAACCAGGGGTACCAGCTTCCTTTCGGCTTGTGCCTACGCACTGCATGTGTTTGGATTTACTGGATTTGAGTCCATTTGTTCAAGCAGGAGGCTCAAGGGCTTGGCAGAAATCATGCATTCTGCAAAGGCGCCACTGAAGCAGGCCTTGGTCTTGACGGTGAGTCAGGTGCGATTTCTTCATGAGAAATTGTTGGACTGATCCTGCAATTGCGTTGATAGAGCGATTGTGGCATATTTGCTGATTGCGTTTTATGGACGATGCCGTCACAGTGACCTTCAGAACGTGGAGGATGTGCTCCTGGATTTTGGGCCTGAAGGTGGGTTCATGGAAGTGACAACCAGGACTCACAAGACAGCAAGGACGGTGACACAGAAGTCAAAGCTTCTCCCAATTGTTCTTCCTGCATTGGGTATCACGGGCAGTGAGTGGATATCAACAGCAAAGGCTGTCTTTGAGGAATATGGTCTTTGCCTGGAGGGCAAAATTGCTGGCCCACTTTTCAGGCCGCCTGGAGCCTCAGGAGAGCCGCATTGCAAAAGGGGCATCACTTCACAGGAGGTGACACGTTTCCTCCGTCTTATGTTGGAGGACGAGGCATCAGTGCAGAGTGTTGAAAGAGTGTCTTCACACTCGTTGAAGGCAACAGTTCTTTCTTGGGCATCAAAAGCCTGTATGAGTGCTTCTGACAGAGCTGTTTTGGGTAGGCACTCTAGCGCCTACGGTGAATCCAGTGCAGTTTATGCCAGGGACCTTGCAATTGGTGCAGTGTCAAGGTTGCAAGAGGTGCTCAACAGCATTTGCTCTGGGGAGTTTTGCCCAGATGCAGCCAGGTCTGGGTATTACCCAGCGCAACCTCAGGTGCATGAGGCAGTGCCACAGCTTGGAAAAGAAGTAGTTAAAGTCGATGATGAGCAAACGGAAGAAGAGCCATGTGAGACAGCTCCTGAGAAGGGAGAGGTGCCTGCAGTGGAGAGCTGCGAAGGGTCTTCAGATGGATCGGAGTCCATGGAGGATTCAGAATCTGGAGAAGAAATCTCCCAGCCGGCGCCCAAGTGCTTTAGGCACAATGCAGTGGGGCCCTTGGCAGGACATTTCGTGGTGCACAATGTCTCAAAGTTGGTTCACTACACGGACCCGAGCTTGGTGGATGGCCATGGAGCCAGAATGATCTCCTGTGGAAGATCCCTGAATCAGAATTATAAATACATCACACAGTTTGATTCATTTGATGTATGCAAAAGGTGTAGGAGCAACGCTGTCAAAGACGGTTTGCTTCCGAAGGCACTTGCGTAGGAGAACAAAAAAGGCGCGCTGTGACACAATTTTAACCAGCTGCATGGCAGTAGGGTTGAGTTTGGGGAATCTGTGTCAGAGTGCGCTTCGCAAGTGTGAAGTGTGGACTTCAACCACTCAGAGATTTGGGTTGCGTGGCAACCAATTGAGTGCATGCTTTGGAGCGAGGCTCATAAGCATGGTTGTCTTGAGTATCAGCTGTGAACTGCAAATCAAATTTTGGAAATCACGATGTTTGACATTTGCAGTGATGAGCGCGTTTGAATTTTATCTTGAATTCACCAAGTTCATGCTTTGAGTGAAGTGCGTTTTAGGAGCATCAAAATTGATATAGAGCAGATGATCCGAAAGACAGTGAGCATGCTTTTTCTCTGTTTTGTGAAGTAGAGTTGACCTGCGCATGCCATGGCAAGTTTACTGGACTCTGAGGCACAATTTACTCAACGTACCATTGACCTCAAGTTGTCTGAGGAATTGAAGCGAAGCTTGCATAGAGCAGGTCTGCAGACTTTTGGCACTTTTGCGTATGCACATGGACAGCCTGGTCAAAATATTTCGGATGAGGGATTTGAGACATGGGTCACAGGGCAGCTTTTGACAGGTGCAACTTTAGCAGATGTTGCTGGTGCCAAAAGGCTTCTTTTCGAGAGTCAAACTATGGTGCTAGCGTCTTTGCAGGAACAAGTCAATGCAACGGATGCTTCATCGATTAAGAAGGTGCCTGTCGTGGAGCGTGAAACCAAAATGAAGGCCATCAAAAAGAGGCTGACAGGTCTTCTCATAGAAGGGCCGCTTGAACCTGGACATGCGCTCCTGGACACCACAGCCAGTATGATGCAACTCAATGAAATCAAATACATCCCTCCTGAAAAATGTATTTCGAGGACTCATGAAGTCTTGAATCAGAAGTCTCCAACGAAACAGTTGGATATCTCAGCTGAGAATTTGATTGTGAAGGAAAAGCAGGACACTCCAGACATGACGGTTACCTCAGCACTTCAGGTACAAGAGGCTTTTCAGCGCCGTGGAATAGCGCTTGTGTTTGCAGACCTCATCACCCATGAGAACTATACCAGGTACATCACAACGCTTTTTGGACACTTGCATAGAGATCCGCCTGTGGGGTACGCAAGGACCAGTGTGAGTCAGATTGTTGCCGCTGACCGGACTGTGTGGCAGATGCTCCTGGAGGAGGGCATTCAACCCAAAAGGGATGAAATGGGAACCCTTGCACTGGATTCGAAGCTTATGGAGAGTCTCCAAAGTTACAGGGTGTCCTTTGCCTTACTGCCATTGATAGCAAAGAAGGATAGCACTCCGAGCCCATCGAAGACGACAAAGCCGGCCGCAAATCAAGGTGGCAAAGGAGCAAATTTGCAGGTGCAGAAACCTTGGCTCAAAGCCAAGGGTGGCAAGAAAGGAGGAAAAGGCAAGGTTCGAGTACCCCATCACATCTTCAAATTGGGTGGCACGGCTTCAAATCCGTCTGGAGAGGCAATTTGTTTTGGATTCAACAGCAGCTCAGGATGCTCTGAAGCAGCAGATGGAGCAAAATGTCGACGAGGTCTTCATATTTGTGCGAAGTGTTACGGTATGCATGGTATCCAGAAGCATGAGTCGTCTTGACTCGCTGCGCAATCAGATCATGGTCAGGGCCTTACATGTGATCCATCAAAACGATGTGTGGAAGGTTCGAACAATTTTTCACTTAAAATTTTTCAGTTTCAGTTGCGTCGAGTGATCCATGCAGAAAGCGTGTTGATGACAGCAACACAATTCAGCAAAAGACCAAACATGACATGGCAGCGAAGATTGACATTGATGTTGGTTGCAGTTTTGATGAAAGTTTGAAGGATAAACCAGAGCCGAAACTCAATAGCGGTCAACTGGATGGCACCACCTCAACCACCCCTCAAGCGGAACAGCCAGCAGCTCGGAACCCAGTAGCATTGGATGGTTCAGTGAATCACAGCCTGTGTTCTGCAGCAAGTCAAATGCAAAGTTCAACGACAGAGGGGTTTGCATTTAGCATAGAACAGCTAACGCATCCAGTGGTTATTGAAATTTTCTGTGGCAGTGCCAGACTGACGGCGAGCCTCAAGGAGGTTGGATTCCAGGATTCCTTTGGAGTGGACCACAAGCTGGACAAGGCGGTGGCGACAGCCAAACGTTTAGACCTTACGGAAAAAACAGATCAGCTTGTACTCCTTCAGTGGTTGCAATCACCGTTGGTCGTGGGCATTTTCCTTGCACCTCCTTGCGGTACTTGTTCACTCGCTCGAAACATCAAACTGCGTGATTCAACAGGCAGGCCCCTGCTCGGCCCAAAACCTTTGCGTTCAACTGACTGGCCAGAAGGGTTACCAGGGTTGGGGCATAAGGACAGAATAAGAGTTTCAGCTGCAAACATGTTATATGATTTTTTGGCAACAGTTGTGGACATGGCGCATGAGTTGGGATTGCTTGTTGTAGTGGAAAATCCACGGTCTTCTTTATTCTGGCTTACAAGGTTTTGGAAACGAATCAAGGCTCCAATGCAATATTCAGCGCATCAGGCATGTGCTTATGGAGGAGAAAGGCCAAAGTGGACAGTCCTAGCCTGGAACCATCCAGATTTTGCAGCAATTTCAAAGTGTTGTCCAGGGGAATCGCCCCTGCACAAGCACAAACCATGGGGCTTGGTGCATTCTGAATCAGGAACCCATTTCTCAACGAGTGAGGAAACGGCGTACCCAACAGGGTTAGCACGAGCCATTGCAAGAGTTTTTGCATTAATTTTAACAGAGCATGGTTGGAAGCCGCCTCAAGAGCAACTTCAGGAGCAACAGGAAGTGTCATTGCGATCAATGAGAGCCATTGCAACAGCTCAGCCAAAGGCATCCAAAATGCCGCCAATTGTCAGGGAACAGGAAGGTGGTGCTTATCACAGGGCCTTTTGCAGACCTTGCATCAGCCCCTGTGGAACCTATGCAACGTCTAAAGTCATCTTGGGAAGTTCCCAAATCTTGTGAGGCTGGATTGAGCATTTTACCAGAGGGTGCCCAGCTGTTGCGTACCACTCCATTGCGGTCAAAAGGGGGTTTATTGGTGCTTAATGATACAGCAGTCGGCGTTTTTGAGCAAGCTTGGGGTATACCGTTCAGTCCTGACGAATTTATTCAGGAAGCTGTGGAACGAGGACACCCCAAACTATTTTCCAGGTTGGTACCAAAAATTTTGCAAACGGCCATCGAGAATAATTTTGACAGAACTGGTTTGCATCATTTGCCCTGCAATAGGATCCAATGGTTCGCAAAATGGACCGAAAGAGCTAAACAACTTCAGCAACATGACGCAGAGATCAAGAGCACACTCCCTAGTCATGCAGCCAAGATTCTTGAACCGAAGAGGTTAGCCCTTTTCAAGGAAATCCTAGTGGATCTGGAATATCCTGATATTGGAGCTTTTGATGAACTGGTTAATGGAACAGACCTTGTTGGTGAAGTGAAGCCCTTCGGAATTTTTGAGAAAGCATTCAGGCCCGCTGAAAAAACAGTTTCGCAGCTTAAGGAAGCCAGCAAGTCAGAACGCATGTTGAACTTTTTCAAATGCTCTTCTTCAGGTGACAAGGAAGTTGATGCCATGGTTTACAGCAAGACCATGGAAGAGGTGGACTGCGGTTGGGCCATAGGCCCCATTCTCATGGAGGAGTTGCCAAGTGACGCAGTGGTCAGCAGGAGATTCGGTCTTAGGCAACCTGGCAAGATTCGACTTATAGATGATCTAAGCGCCAGTGGCGTGAATCAAACGGTACAAACTGCAGAATCACCCAAGCCACATTCAGCAGACTTTATAGCGGCAATGCTTTTGGCAGTTTTGAAAGTTAGTGAAGGTTCAAAGTTGATGGGAAGGTCATTCGACTTGAAAAGCGCGTACAAGCAACTTGCAATAGCAAAGGAGTCCTTGTCATTTGCTTTCGTTGCAGTATACAACCCAGAGAGAGCCAAAGCAGAAATATTTCAGTTGCTTGCGGCACCGTTTGGAGCAACCAGGAGTGTATATTCGTTTTTGAGATTGTCGAATGCCATATGGTACATAGGAGTCAAAGCGTTGAACCTGATCTGGAGTTGTTTCTTTGACGATTACGTGGTCTTCAGCAGAGATGAACATGTGAACAACACCGAGCAGTCAGTATCACTCCTTTTCAAATTGTTGGGGTGGAAATTTGCGGAAGAGGGTGACAAGGCGGATGGTTTTTGTCGAGAGTTTGGAGCCTTGGGCATTCGCATCATTCTGGACGAGGCGGACAAAGGTTTGATTAAGTTTACAAACACTGAAAAGAGATCTATGGAGTTGGTCGACACCATAAATGCGTTGCTGTGCAAAGGAAGCATGACAACCTTGGAAGCGCAAAGACTTAGGGGCAGAATGCAATTCATGGATGGTCAATTATTTGGAAGATTGGGAAAGTTGTGTATGAGAGAAGTTACAAATCATTCTTGTGAGTTGAAAACATCGAGGTTGAGCAAGAGAACCTTTGATGCTTTGAAGAGGTTTACCATCTTCTTGGAGCATGCTGAGCCGAGGCGTATTCACTTGAGCACAGACATGGTTTGGCACATTTACACGGATGCTTGTTATGAGCCGACATCTAGCGACTGGCAGTGCGGATTAGGAGGTGTCCTAGTAGGACCAAACGGCAGGCAAGTGGCTTTTTTCTCAGTGGCACTGAATCATGAACAGCTGGAACTTTTGGGGTCTGAAACAAAGAAGACAATAATTTTTGAAGCGGAGCTGTTGGCCTTGGTGTTAGCATTCTCGGTGTGGCGTGATTACATAAGGGCAATGTCTTTGATCTGTTTTGTTGATAATAACTCGGCAAGGGATGTGGCCATTTCTGGAAATGGGCGGAACATCACTGCAAATTGCCTGATAGAATTTTTGCTGAAATTGGAAATGTCAAGTTGTACAACACCTTGGTATGCGAGGATACCCACACCGTCAAACATTGCAGATGAGGCATCAAGGGGGGCAACACAGAGATTTATCCAAGGAAAAATTCCCGAAACTTCTGTATGTGATGGAATACAAGAAATCATGCTTGCACTTGCGGAAGACACGGTTATGAGGGGGTCTTCAAGTTGAGCAGTTGAACTGGTTGGAACGTTGATGGCATTTCTTATGACAGCGATTTATTTGATTGCTGGAACTTGCGCTTCTTTTCCCCAGCGATTTATTTGATTGCTGGAACTGGTGACAACCCCATTGGAACGACGGATCGACGTTTCGAATTGCACAGCCCGTTGTCACTGGTGTCAAAAAAGGTGCGTGATCTTCGGCACTCTCAGAGTTGTGACAGAACATGTTTGCATTTCAAAATCGTTTGGCAGTGAAACCTTTTGGTGGACGGATGGTTTGAAGCTTGAATGTCATGGCAAATCTTTGAAAGAAATTGTTTGGAGGGAACACGCTTTTGCTTAGGGTAACTGGCAGCCACTAATACTAGAAATAAGTTTGCGGTCAACGTGTTGATAGCTCCTTATTTCTAGTGTTAGTGAGAGGACTTGTTCTCGTGCTGCTTGTTGCTCCTCCTTCTTGTTGGTTCCCTCCTCTGTCTGATGAAGGATCACTCGAAGTAAACTGGGATTTCAACAAACAACAGTTTGGAAACAACAACTTGTTTCAGTGATGTCAACTGGAATTGCAGATTTACATTTTGGTCGATGTCTCTCAACTTCATGTACAGTTTGTCACGGCAGTCAATTACAGATATGTCAGTTCAGAATGGAGTTCAATTTGATGAAGGTCAACTTGATCAATGGATGTCGACAACACATGGCTCTCAGGGACGGGTGGCGGGTAGCCTCTTACTTTTTTGGTAGAGGTTGCCCCACCCAACCCTCCCTTTTTTGGATACTGCACATTGTGTGTTCTTTACTGGACCTGTGCGCTGACTTATTTCTCTGCTGGAACCCGCGCTTCTTTCTCCAGCGATTTATATGATTGCTGGGGGGGTCTTCAAGTTGAGCAGTTGAACTGGTTGGAACGTTGATGGCATTTCTTATGACAGCGATTTATTTGATTGCTGGAACTTGCGCTTCTTTTCCCCAGCGATTTATTTGATTGCTGGAACTGGTGACAACCCCATTGGAACGACGGATCGACGTTTCGAATTGCACAGCCCGTTGTCACTGGTGTCAAAAAAGGTGCGTGATCTTCGGCACTCTCAGAGTTGTGACAGAACATGTTTGCATTTCAAAATCGTTTGGCAGTGAAACCTTTTGGTGGACGGATGGTTTGAAGCTTGAATGTCATGGCAAATCTTTGAAAGAAATTGTTTGGAGGGAACACACTTTTGCTTAGGGTAACTGGCAGCCACTAATACTAGAAATAAGACATCCTCTTTTGTGGACAAGCAGCCTGGTGCTTCACCATTAGCTTTGATGAACTGTGTGGTGAGGGATCCTCGATTTCCTTTTTGAAACGAAAGGTTTTTGAGGATAGAGACAGGTCTTGCACTCATCCTTGGAACAAGCGCTGAGAAGGTGCTGAAGTCCTATGAGGAATACTTTGGTAAGATCAGAGCTCAGTTGGTGCTGTGTGATCAGTCCATGCAGACAGAAGACCTTACAGATGTTTTGTCTCCCAAAAGATGCGTTTGCCTACAGGTCAGTTGTGGGTGTCTCCTTGTACTTGGCCAGGGACAGGCCAGACCTCTTGTTCCCGGTCTAAGAGCCCAGCAGCTTCATGAGCAAACCAACCCATGGAGCTTTGCAGAAGTTGAAGAAATTGATGGGCTACCTCAAGAGCGCATCAGATTACCGCGTGGTTCTGGAAATGCCTACTCCAGGACAAGGCAAATGGCGATAAACAGACAAGTTTTGGGTGCTTTGAAGCTTTACAGATGCTGACTGGTCTTCAAATCAACGGCATCGTCGTTCATCAAGTTGTGGAGTTCCCTTGGTGTGTGGTGCATTCGTATATGGGTCTTCAAGGACGCAAAAGGTAGTGTCACTCAGTTCTTGTGAGAGTGAGCTGCATGCGGTCAGTACACTTCGTGATGGTATTTTCTTGCGTAGATGCTTGGAGTTTCTGACAGGTGCAACGTTGGAGCAGTACTTGTTCACAGACAGCTCTTCTGCCAGGCAGCTTGCAACACGACAAGGCGTTGGCAAGGTCAAACATGTTTCAGGCAAGTTGCTATGGGTGCAAGATGCGGTGTTGAGCAAACAAGTGATATTGGTGCAAGTTCCAACTTTGTAACTTTGTGGAATTTGAGTGAAATTGGAACAAAACCTTTGAGCGCAAAGAGGTTGAAACTGCTATTGCATGAGCTTGGTGTTTCCACGCATGATGGACAGTATGTGGTTGGACAGATGGAATATGAGAAACGGTCAGCAAGACATGGAGGTGGAAGAGAAATTGCTGTGCTGGCCAGCGTAGCACGTGTGCTTGTAGTGATGGGCCTTGGGCCAGTGCCAAGCGCGGCAGTGAACTTGGAAGGTGGAGATCAATGCAGCTTGAAGGCGCCCGATGTGTTTTCCACAGATGGTGAACCAGGTCAATTTGCGTTTTCGATGTTCATGTTTTTCATGCTTGCTGCAGTGGTTTGGTCTACATTTCTCTGGCGACTTTACAAATGGCTCAAGAGCACCTGGGAGAGTCATGAGCATTTGTGCCTTCAGGTTGCACAGCTTGACAGCTACGCTGGAGAGATTCGAGTGGACTGTGACAGGCTGCCGTTGGATACAAACAACATGAGACAAAGTATGACTGAACTGAACTGGAAGAAGCGCAAGTGATGGTTTCAGATGCAACCGGTGCCATTCACTATGCTGTGGTGGAAATTAAATGGGTGGCTATGTCAGGATGACAGACTTGAATCCTGAGCAGAGACGTCACATGTACACACACGAGCGTGGGAATCTTGTGGCAGCAAATGTCATGGGCCAGCGGCGTTATCTGCAGACAATCAGACAGCAGAACCGTGGCTATGCTGCTGGACAGGATACCGATGAAAGAGTGGAAGAATGAAGAAGGTGAGCAAATGGAATCATAAAGTGACCAAGAAGCAGATGATCCAATGATTGCAGACAATCATGCAGGCCTGTGGGCACACTTGGTAGATAGCTTGCGTGAGGAAATCAACAATGCTTTGAGGCGTGAGCATTTCCGTGATGCCAGTGAACTGCAGAACTGCAGAGGATGGTCCTCATCGTTTTGGACAACCTCTGGAAATTTGAGACTTGATGCGACAAGGAATGCAATCCTATAGGAAGTTGCAAACAAGGTGGAAAGTATGACACCCAGCACAGAATCCTATTCTCAGCAATTGCAGAGAGGTATCAAGGTCATGCAGCGACCGTGAGATCAATGATGGTAGCTCCAATGGAAACTGGAAGAACGTGAGATGGGGAATGCAGGCAACTCCCCGATTAATGCCTGCTTGTTTTCAGTGAGTGCAGCAGCTAGTTACAGCTAGTTTTCACAGTGATTTTCTAGTTGAACTGTGAGCTGAAAACGATCATTTCAAAGGAGGAGTGCTGCAAATGTTTGAGCACTGCGCTCATTCCTGTTTATGTGTGGCATGCATCCATGAAATCATGGGATGAAACGCACAAATCAGAAGTGTAACAGTCATGCTTCAAGCGACGTTACGTACATGTGGAGACTCTTTTCACATGAGGCCCTGAGATTCAAAATCAAAGCGGTAGCTTGTGCATTGCCTGCTGCACCTTTGCAGATTTGCTTTTTGGTGAGCTCACCCAACGGTGCCCTCATCTCCAAATCCAGGCCCAGCGAAAAGGATTGAATCTTGTTCTGGAAAAAGAAGAGGCCGCCCAAACGGCAAGGCCAAAAATTGCGGTTGCGCTCAAAATAAGCATCTGTAAAGATGACTGCTTTATGTGTGTCAAGAGCACGAATTTTTCGAGGTGTGTTCTGTCTCAAGAGCTTCATGAAAAATTCCAAAAAAATCTTGGATTGGAGAAGGTGTTTCAAACAACTCGTTGGATTAAAAAAATGTAGCCGGTGACAATTGTATTGGGCATGTGTTTGAAAAAAAATAAACAACAAAAAAATATACAAAAATAAAAACCCCAAAAAATGGGTTTCACCAGAATACATTTTTGAAACTTGATAGTGGATGTTGGCGGAGTAAGTGCGGCATCAAATTGGGAAATTGGTGGCAAATCATTTCATGCGATTGAACAGTGAGTCGGTGAGTAAGAACTGCTGGAAAGAACGGGAGCAAAAATTTTTCGTTCTACCCCGCGGAAACACTTATTGACTTTTGATTTGGGTGCTTGTTCCGAGTGGACGTTTCCTGCTCCCCAAAACCCCCGGCCCCCGTGGAGACCATCGGCACATGTTCTTTTTGTTGCCCATTTTGCAGTTTTTAGGTTTTCTGCAAAGCAAACGTAAAATATGCGCCGTGGTTTCACAGAAGGGAGGGGCATGCAAGGGAATTTTTCAATTGGCATACACAATTTTGATCAATTTTCAATTGTTTTTGCACAGTTTGATTCACGAAAATTGCAAGCACCAGCACGTGAACAAATTGCCGAAAATGAATTCTTTTTGATTTATTCACTGGGGAAAGCTACTACGGCCCTGCTACATTGGATGTCAAATTCAGTGCGCAAACTGTTGCGAACTGCATGGAAAAAATCAGCAATCTACAGCACGAAACAATATACACAGGGAGTGGAATGGACCGACAGCCTTTCATGCCAATGCGTTTTTTTGTTTGGTTTCCAGATTTTGGTTCAAGGGCTTGGTTGCAGGTTGCCAGTCAGGTAGCACCGATGAAGGTGCGCGGTGTTAATTTGAATTGTCTTGTCAGATTTTCAAGAATTTTTTGGAGGTTCTATCTGCACGACTGGTGCGGGCTCTTGCTGTTGGAGCAGCAGGAAATATTTTTGCAAGAATGCGCCACGAATAAAACATATGTCATGTCAAAATTCAAACTAAAACTCAGGGCAGTGCTTCAAAATTTTGACCAAGTCGTTGAACACACGACTCGCATTGTTTTGTTGCGTGAAACGGTTCGAAGGACGTCCTCAAGCCCAACTGCGCGTGCGCGAGGAAACTTGGCTTGACACACGATGCGGGATATGCGCGTGGGGTACGTTTAAAGAAGTGGAATGGATCTTGAATACATAAGTTGGAATCATCGTTCTTCTGCCAAACAGTTTCTAGTCAAGCAGATGAAGTGTGTTGTTGTGCCAATTTGTGACTGTAAAGGTGCTGCCATTGTCGAGTCCTTTGCGTTTGTTCAGGTACGGCACTCGACAATGGGCCGAATTTGTTTTTTTTTTTGAAGTTGGCCCATGAACCATGTGCCATCTGCGGACTGCTCCAAGGCCACAACTCCAGTCCAGGTCTGGGTTTGCGCTGGATGAACATTTCTCATTATTATTTTTGTAATTGAATCAATTGAATAATCTATCTTGGTTAAAAAACCAACGCAGAGCAAATACTCAGGCGTTTGTACGCCAACCAAACGGATGCCGAGAGTGAGGCTCGACATTCTGGGAGGTCACAAATGTCTAATTTTGTGTGATGGGTTAAAATCTGACAGGTTCCAAAAGACCAAACTGGCAAGGATGGAAAGGATGGAAAGGATGACGCAAGTGTGTCTGCAGAGGCTTGGATGGAAACAAGTGTGGTGTTTGACGGTCATGGCCTTGACATGCTTGATATGCCCTCTACGCGTTCTTTAGAATCTTTCATCCGAAAATTTGCCAAGGACCAAGCAGATGAAGGTGCTCCCAGGAAAGCTGAAGAGACTGAGGAGGTGTCTGGTCATAGTCTCGCTGTACCTTATTCAAAATTATATCATTTGTATAGTGTAGACATTGAATGAGATTGCCAGGCAGCTGAAACTGCTGCAGAGGAGGCGCAAACATCCTGCCCTCGCCACAGCACCAGTGTGGAACGTTGATGATCGATTCGCGTCTTATCCTTTGCTTGAGCAACGGCATTTTCGAGCCACGGCATTGTGCTTCAGAACTGTGGTTTGTGTCGTTTGCAATGTGACAGGCTCCAGAGAAGCTGCTGCAAAAAGAACTGACTGATCTCCAGGCAGCACTTACTCAATTTATACTCAATTTATACTCAATTTAATCATTTTATACTTTATACTGTTTATACTCATTCAATTTGGATTTTGGATCTATTTGGATCTCTTGGGCCGACCTCTACATTTCAATCACGAGGAGCTGGTCAAACAGAATAAACATGAGCAGAAACCTCAGAGAGGAAGGTCTGCGAGACAGGCATGTTGACGCCATTTGCTGACTGGCAATGACTCGCAATGACTCGCAATGAGTCGCAATGAGTCGCAATGCTCAGGTTACTTCTGTCTTTGGCAGATTTCGAGAACAACAAGAAGCGCTTCTTGAAGGAAAGAGAGGCAGACGCAGACGTCTTGTTGTTGTTGTTGTTGTTGTTGTTGTTGTTGTTGTTGTTGTTGTTGTTGTTGTTGTTGTTGTTGTTGTTGTTGTTGTTTGTCCCTGTGTCTCGTTGTGACAACTTTCTGACTTGTGCAGCATACTTGTGCCACGTTTCTGTGTAGATGATGTAGATGTCTGTGCAGACGTTTGGGAGGATCGTAGAAGAAGTTCGATGTCCAACTTTGCCACCAAAATGATCCAGGTACGGCCCTGGAAAGAGCATAGACTCAGCATAGACTGCACTGCAAGCTGTCAAATCCTGAGGCTTTGAACGCGTCAACGCTGTAAGGTCTACGGAAAGCTAAATGATTTTGCCGTGGAGAAGCACAACTCAGGCGGCTCAGCTGTGCTTAGCTCTAGTTTGCCTCGAATTTATCGGAACCCAATGCAACACACACATTGGATTCATCGGATGTAGGTCTTTCCTGAAACATCTTGAACCTGATCTTGAACCTGATTTCAGGATGTTTAAAGACTTTTAACTTATCCTAGCATCAACATGATGTCGTTTGGTTTCTCACCGTTGCGGCTACAGGCACTGCGCAGGCATTGCATGAGGGTGTTGCACTTACCAGGGACTTGTACAAGGCAAGATCTTGCAAAAGTTGTTGGTGCAGCAGCTGCTTTCAGTTCAGAAATCGATCCAAAGGACAAGGTCTACAGCTGGTCAGCTGGTTCCTTGTTATTGACGATGACTGTGGCTATTCCTCCTATCCCCTGCGGTGCAGGCATCCTTGGAAAAGTTTGGTGTTCGGCCAATTCAGGCACCAACCGCTTCATTTGTATCTCATCAACAGATATGAAGATTTAAAGAACAGTCCTTCCAGTTTTGTCATTTTAAGCATTGCGGCGAATTGCAAATCGCAACTTAATCCATTCACTTTGGTGAGCAGGTGTCAGTACACTATTCTTGTCATTGCAGGTAGAAATTGGCGAGCCGTGTGCCAGACATGTTTGCCCTTGGACTGCCGTTCTGCCATTCATTGTTCCGAATTGTTCCTTTGTGTCATTGCAGGTTTGTTGCAGCTCGCCACGAGAAAACCGATACGATCCAGAGTCCCCTGGTTTTTTTCCGAAGAATCAAGGTGTGACAATGACAACTGATGCAATCGAGGTACACAATTGCCAACAAATTCTGTAGCTGCGATTGTGCGACCAGGCCCATCTTGGATGCACAAAGCCCTTTTTGCATTGTGTCAACTGTGTACTTTGGCACAGACTCTTGACGTGGCTCGAAGGTTGGATTCTAGATCCCGACACTCCCAAGCCAATTGTTCTCCAAAAAGCGGAAACTGGGCCTTACTTGATGTGACGTTTGATGAACCAGGCAAGTACGGTTTGAAAGGCTGAAGTTTCTGCTGTATTGACCTGTTGAACTTGTGTTGAGTCAGAGCTTGGAGCCAAAGAAAATTCAAGTCTGGTTGAAGCCTGCTTCAAGAAATGATGGGCCTCCATGCGAAAGGCCCAAAGCAGGAAACACTTGAACCTTTGTAATATTTTGTCTTACTTTTTGTCTTACTGGATATCCAAGGAAGTGCATGTCTCATCAGACGGACCCAAGGCGCACGGATGTTGCATTGAGATGCATTGAGGTTGATTGCCCAATTTTGAATCCATGGGATTTCTATGTGCAGGTTCCTCCATCCTGAATGCTCAGGCCTGTGATGGAGATTTTGACACATTTTTTCAACAAAAAAATCATGCTTCCAGTGGAAGTTCCATTGGATCTCCCGTTGGAAGGCCCCTGGTGCCTTCATATTGCGTGACCCAGGCCCAGAGAGCAGTCTCTCACCGATTGAACCCTAATGCGCAAAGCTACAGGCAAAACCTGTCAACCCAACGCTGGACGGTTTTCTTGACATGCTCAGGGCGGCAAAAGCCGTACAGGTCAAACAGTTGCCCAGCACTTACTTGCCAGAGCACCCCAGAGCACCTCTGTTGTTGCATCATTTAGCGTGTGTAGGTGCAGGCACATGCAGTATCAAATCTCTTTTCGGGTGCAACTAGCAGATCATGGATTTGGGTATCTCATATGGCCTACTGGAACGGCATGTTGACATAGATGTGGGTCTAAGCATTGTTTCAGAATCATACGCTAGCGAAATCTCATAATTTGCATTAATTTGCCACTTCAGAGGATAAGCTGTACCCAGCAGTCATGCGAAGAATATGCTAAAGCCAGGCAAGTGATCAAAGTTCTTTCCTAAACAATTTTGAGAGGCGCTGCAAAGATGCTTTCTTGCATAGTCCGGATGAAAGTATCCAGATACTTTGAAGACTACTTCGACAATGCATGCACGCAGGTGTGTGTATATACATATGCCTCTCTCATGTTTGATTGGGCACGCAGCCTCTTTTAGGGTCAAGGCCAATTCTCAGGTGGCTCGCGCAATCGTGTTGTCCTAGGCGCCATACCACCCGAGAACCGTCGCTTGATCCTGTGAGGCAAACAAACCAGGTCACATTGGAACTTTGGGAACCTGACTCAGAGACCGAAAGTAACACAGTGTCTCTGCCCGGCCGTGTGGAAAGAGAGGTTCCTTGGGTTTTACCAACTGCAACTGGATCCTACTTTGGGCACAAAGGTCTGCAGCCACCCGCCACGCTGCCATACACTTTTTAGTTTGAGGGCTCCCACGCTTCTGGCCGTAGACGTGTCAGGGGCGTACCCTCCTCCCTTCTTTCCCTTCCTTGCTCTCTCCTTTTCCTCTGTGTGTGCCTCCTTGTGTGTTTCCTCTTTTCCTCACTCCCTGCTTCCCCTTTCGCTTTTCGTGTTCCCTGTGCCTCTTGCCTTTTTGGATCTGATCTGACACCAGGGAAGCTGCGGCTGAGGGATTCAACACTCAAGCGGCCCAGTGGGATCTGACACCGCAATACAGCAGCCGTGTGTTCGGCTGGACCTTCACTCATGACCTTGAAGCCCGGGGTTAAGGGTTTCTTGCAACTGGGAGATTCCTTCAAAGCTCCAAGATGGAGGGAAGCTCTGATCATTGGCATTCAAAAGCCTTGGCTGCAGGTATTAGTCAGCTGCCAGCCCGAAGAGGTAGAAGTTACAGGGTTGACTTTCCTGGAGCATGGCAACGGGAACTTTTGTCTGGTGGAAGCTCAGCAGCATCAGCTTCTGAGCGGTGTGACAGAGGAGTTCAAGGCTTTGGGTTGCGACACTGCAGAACTTCTGCGAGCTGGATTGCTTCTGATCACAAATTCAGAGGAGGAGCTGCACTATGCCACCGCCTCGGAGCCACAGAACATCCAAGGTCAGCGTCAGAGCCGGAGGAGGAGAAGCTCCCAAAGCAGCTCGACGTCAGAGTCGAGTCCAAACGAAGTAGAAGAAAACCTGGCGGATCAGCTGAAAAGCGAATGGCTAGGGCTGGGTACCAGAGAAGAAAAGACCGGAAGGCACAAAAAGGCAAGCCCTCGTGGGCACAAAAAGTCAAGGAGGTTTGCCCTGATCGAGAGAGACAAGAAGAAGAAGGAAAAGGAGAGTTCGCACGAAGCTTTGCAAGCTTCAGCTCTCCGTGCTGCAGTTCAGTCTGGAGACCCAATTCAGAGCTTGCTGGCCCTGCAGCTGGCCCAGGCGCTGAAGCAGGAGAAAGCGGTAGGCCATCGCCGTCGCCGCAGGTCCGGCGACAGCAGAAGCACAAGCCGCTCATCAAACAGCAGCGATTCCAGCAGTGGCTCGAGAGAAGATCGGAAACTTCTAAAAGGCCACTCAAAAGCCGTCTACAGCTATCGCAGGTCGGGCAAAAGAATGTTCGCTCGACCCCTTCGTCATGTGAAGAAGTTTGTGCAGGGCATCCAGGAAGAGCTGGGGGCGGAAGACAAACCATTCAGGATCATAGATTACACGAAGAAGATCAGCTGGGGCAAGCAAAGGAATCTACAGCGTTGCCACCACCTGGTAGCACTGATCTTGGAGTATCTCTTGAAGGAGGAGTACGAAAAGGGGGCGTTGCAGTGTGTTCTCACGCTGCAGGCCATTCATCAGGCCAGCCTAGACAATGGCGAGTGGCAAGTGGCCTGGCTGCTGACCCACACAGAGGACCCATTCCAGAGAAAGCTGTTCGGGGGAGATCCGAACTCCTTGCAGCACGTGACTTCGTACCTGCGGTCCATGAACGAGCTGGCGAAGACCACGGAGAATCTGAGGAGGAAAGGGTCCGGAAAGGGGAAAGCAGAGGAGCTGGAGAAAGCCACTCCAAAAGGAAAAGGAAAAGGAAAGCTCAAAGACAAGGAGAAGGACAAGAGCTCAACCGAAGTCTGAGCCCGCCCGCACGTCCTGACCAACCAGCTGCCAAAGGCAGTTTGCATGCATTCCCGATTGCTCAGGGGTTCGAAGATAGCCTAGGGTCTTTCGGAAGGTTTTGGAAACTTGCAAAGTCCTCTTGTTTAAATTTAAATGAGAGGTTGGGGCCTATGACACCCCCGAAACAGACAAAGGGGGATTCAATTTTTCCGTCTCTGCCGGTATTGCCACATAACACTGGCAAGTCCAAGAGTGCCCGACGCAGGGCTAGGAGGCGAGGCCGTGACATGGCTTGGAGTTACTGTGAAATGCTGTGGGCTTACTTCACTTTTTCCCGAGAGCGCCTGCGAAGGGTTCTTCGTAAAAAAGCAGCCGTTATACTAGATCTTCACACCTTCACACCTGCAGATCTAGATCTTCACACTCTCACATCTGCCGATCTACATCTTCACACCTTCACATCTGCTGATCTAGATCTTCACACCTTCACACCTGCAGATCTAGATCTTCACACCTTCACACCTGCAGATCTAGATCTTCACACCCTCACATCTGCAGATCTAGATCTTCACACCCTCACATCTGCAGATCTACATCTTCACACCTTCACACCTGCAGATCTAGATCTTCACACACCTCACACCTGCAGATCTAGATCTTCACACCTCACACCTGCAGATCTAGATCTTCACACCCTCACATCTGCAGATCTAGATCACACCTTCTGCAGATCTAGATCTTCACACCCTCACATCTGCAGATCTACATCTTCACACCCTCACATCTGCAGATCTAGATCTTCACACCCTCACTTCATCTTCACCTTCACACCTGCAGATCTAGATCTTCACACCCTCACACCTGCAGATCTAGATCTTCACACCCTCACATCTGCAGATCTAGATCTTCACACCTTCACACCTGCAGATCTAGATCTTCACACCCTCACACCTGCAGATCTAGATCTTCACACCCTCACATCTGCAGATCTAGATCTTCACACCCTCACATCTGCAGATCTAGATCTTCACACCCTCACATCTGCAGATCTCTCTCGCTCTTCTTCTATTCTCTCTTAAGGCGGGGGCGGTGCCGCCGGAGCGCCACGAAACGCAACCCTTTCGCACGAAATGGACGTTGGACGTCCAAAACCCAGGTGAAATTGCGATTTTGAAGCGTCGCCGGCAACCCTTTCGCACGAAATGGACGTTGGACGCCAAAAACTGAGGAAAAATTGCAACTTTTATTGGTCGCGCGCAAACCTTTCGCACGAAATGGACGTTGGACGTCAAAAACTGAGGAAAAATTGCAACTTTTATTGGTCGCGCGCAACCCTTTCGCACGAAATGGACGTTGGACGTTAAAAACTGAGGAAAAATTGCGACTTTGAAGCGTCCCGCGCAACCCTTACGCACGAAATGGACGTTGGACGTCAAAAACTGAGGAAAAATTGCAACTTTTATTGGTCGTTAAAAACTGAGGAAAAATTGCGACTTTGAAGTGTCCCGCGCAACCCTTACGCACGAAATGGACGTTGGACGTCAAAAACTGAGGAAAAATTGCGACTGTGAGTTGTCAATCGCAACCCTTACGCACGAAATGGACGTTGGACGCCAAAAACTGAGGAAAAAATGCGATTTTACTTGGTCAATCGTAACGCTTTCGTCTGTGTAAAAGTGTCTGTGTGTAAAAGCGTCTGTGTGTAAAAGTGCCGTGTGTAAAAGCGGTTGTGTGTAAAAGCGTCTGTGTGTAAAAGGGTCTGTGTGTAAAAGCGTCTGTGTGTAAAATCGTCTGTGTGTAAAAGCGTCTGTGTGTAAAAGCGTCTGTGTGTAAAAGCGCCTGTGTAAAAGCCTCTGTGTGTGAAAATGTTGTGTGTAAAAGCGCCTGTGTGTAAAAGCTTCTGTGTGTAAAAGCCTCTGTGTGTGAAAGTGTTGTGTGTAAAAAGTTCTGTGTGTAAAAGCTTCTGTGTGTAAAAGCCTTGTGGTGAAAGTGTGTTGTTTGTGTAAAAGCGTCTGTGTGTAAAAGCTTCTGTGTGTAAAAGCGTCTGTGTGTAAAATCGTCTGTGTGTAAAAGCGTCTGTGTGTAAAAGCGTCTGTGTGTAAAAGCGTCTGTGTGTAAAAGGGTCTGTGTGTAAAAGCGCCTGTGTGTAAAAGCCTCTGTGTGTGAAAGTGTTGTGTGTAAAAGCGTCTGTGTGTAAAAGCGTCTGTGTGTAAAAGCGTCTGTGTGTAAAAGTGTCTGTGTGTCAAAGCGGCTGTGTGTGAAAGTGTCTGTATGTAAAAGCGACTGTGTGTAAAAGCGTCTGTGTGTAAAGGTGTTTGTGTGTAAAAGTGTTTGTGTGTAAAAGCGTCTGTGTCTAAAAGCTTCTGTGTGTAAAAGCGTCTGTGTGTAAAAGCTTCTGTGTGTAAAAGTGTCTGTGTGTCAAAGCGGCTGTGTGTGAAAGCGTCTGTGTGTAAAAGCGTCTGTGTGTAAAAGCGCCTGTGTGTAAAAGTCTCTGTGTGCAAAAGCATCTGTGTGTAAAAGCGTCTGTGTGTAAAAGAGTCTGTATGTAAAAGGGTCTGTGTGTAAAGCGTCTGTGTGTAAAAGGGTCTGTGTGTAAAGCGTCTGTGTGTAAAAGTGTTTGTGTGTAAAAGCTTCTGCGTGTAAAAGCTTCTG